GATTAGATCTATCAATTTTACAGGAAATGATATATCAAAAACATTTTGTTAACCTTTCTATTAAGGAATTTCTTTAACAATAACTCCTGAAGGATTGGTGCCATTGGTGACTTAACAAGTTAAAAAGGATTTAGATGACCTTACAGAAGAGGATTTGTATATAGGATATAGAGAAAAATTAATTTCATTAGCAAATAGTCCAGATGGAGTTTGTGTATTATCTTCAAAAGGAAATGTCTATTTGATTGCAACAAATGGTCGAAATCCTGTAAATATAAAAAATTAAACTCTACCTCATTCTACAATCAATCAAGAAATAGCAACATTAATTTTTGATGAAAAATCTAGATATTTTTTTGCTTTTTACAAAGATCATTTCATAAAATTTTAATTTCTATAGGAATAGTTAGATGCAACTTTAAACTCTTAATGGGTATCTCCATCAAAAAAAATGAGACTTGTAGCTAGTAATGGTTGGCTTTATTGTACTTAAGAAGAAGATGGTTTATTAATCTATTAGATATAACATAATGAAGTTAATTATGTAAGCACTATAAAATCCATTGATTTATACAATAAAACTACAGATAGCTTCTAAATTGTTGATGTTGCAGTTGTTGAAGATAGATTATATATTTTAGATGCTAAAAATGGTGTATCTTTATTTAACATATATTTTAATGGAACCTTTATTAAGAATAATAAATTTGGAATTATTAATCTATAAGATTGTCATTCTATTTCTGTTAAAGAATAAACTTTGATTGTTCTTTAAAATTTTAAATCAAATTCTTAAGTAGTTGAATTTTACATAAAAGATGATGAATGGATATAAATTAGAAAGTATGTTACAAAGAGCAAATTACAAAGGGCAGATATAATTGATGATAATCTAGTTATAATAAGAGGATTACATGATCATAAGATATTATTTACAAAAATGACAGAAGAATATTTAGATAAATAAAATCATTAATTGTAATATCTTTATTTTTATTAAGGGAAAACTATTTTTTTAGTGGCAATTTATTAGGAGTCGAAAAATATGGAGATAACAATGATTCTTTACTTGCTGTATCTCCTCATGGATTTTATTAATTCAACTATTTCTATTATTCTACTTTCTTGATTTGTAATAGTAAGGATGCTAAATCAGGACTTTATTAAACAAATGTAATTATTATTATTCAAATTTTATATAGATGATCTTAAAAAGCACTAACTGTTCAAAGAAAATGGAATCATAGGATGATTTGCTTTACTGTTAAACAGATTTTCATTATAATTTTGAAATAAGGAGACCACTTTTCACTGCCGAATAGTAATAGAATTATTTTTATATTGTGATAATACTTTTTATTAGTATTATTGTATTGTCATACATAATTGTATGCTGCTATTCAAGATACAAGAAAAAGTTATAAATTATGAAAAATAGAAACGATACAATCAAAGCAAATAAGGCTTAATAATTAAAATGATAATTATTTTAATTTAATGTTCTGCTTTAGAATGTAAAATTATTTATTCTAAGGAAATTCAACATTACAAAATCTTTAATAATAGACTATTATTAAATAAATTATTTAAATTTTATTAATGACAATTTCTTATCAATGTTTTATTACATTTTCATCTTAGAAATATTCATTAGTATATTTATTACATATTAATAATTTTATTAGAATATTTTATCTTATTTATTTTAGATATTGTAATTCAATAATAAAGAATTATTGAAATTTTTTATTTAATATAAAATAAATAATAAATAATAATTATTGATATATATTTATATTCTTAAGAAAGTATGTATCATTTAATAATTTAAGAATAATGATGAAAGAAAGTAATTTACCTTAATTTTTTAAACAATTCATATTTAAATACTTAAGAAAAGAAAAGGACAAAAATAGTTTTATAATCAAAGACATATGGAATACAAATAAAAATAATTATCAATATAAAAATAAAACATTTAATTACTTCTATAATTCAATAAAAATTAGCAAAAGACACCTTTTTATCTGTTGAATATTCAAATGTTGATGATATAATTCTTCAAATGAAATTTGATCACAATAATTATGAAGTAATTTAATGTGAAATGGGAATTATAGTAAATAAAGGATGGTTATTATATTTAAAAAGAAACTCATATATATTAGGATGGAAATATGGATTAAAATTAAAGGAAAAAAGAAGGAAAGTGCATTATTATGATATTGATCCTGAAGATTTTAATAATGATTTTAATATATATCTTTATATATACAATAGATTTATGGAATTTAAAAAAATAGAAATTCAATGAAATTGACTTTATTAGATTTGAACTTCCATTAAATCTATAAATATAAGAAAAGTAAATGAGGAAAATTTGAAAAAGTTAAAAATAATTAATTTAATATATAATATATAATATAAAATGCAAGTAGCAATGATTGCCCCGAATAAAGTTTAAATAGGCATTTAAAATTAAAAATTAGATATCTTTGATGATAATAAGCAACTCTAAAAGGCTGGAGGATTAAAGAAGATTTAGGCTATAAGGGTTTTCTTTACTGATAAATAGTAATGTGATGCATTCTATATTTTAGTATACGAGGATTTGAAATATTTTACAAATTAACTGATGGGGATCTTTTGAAAGCAGGTCATAATGTTCCAAAATCCAAGAAAGAACTCTAAAATGCTATTATAGAAATAGGGCCTGATGATTACGTAAGTGAAATATTTGGTGCATACTAATCTGCTAAAAAGAATAGAATTATAAATATTACATTTATAACTTATAGAGGAAAAGTTTAATCATTCGGTGGTAAGGGAGACAAATCATTTGGATTTTGTTTTCCAGGATCTACATTTGGAGCATTCAAAGGAGGGTAAAATAAATTAGTAACAATATAGTTAAAAGAAAGCTGTAGAGTGGTTAGAGATTGATGTACTTCCCTTACCTGAAGATTTCAAAATAGAAATGGAAAAATTAGGAATATTAAAAATTCAGAAAATAAGTGAATAACCTCAAAGAACTTAAAGTAATCTTAGCAATCCTTCAAATAACACTGGATAAGGTTCACTAATAGTAGTTCCAAAAATATAAGTAGCTAAGCCAATGATTGCTGTTCCATCAGTCATAGTACCTTAAGTTAACTAATAATAAAATATGAATTAATAATAATAAAATGTTCCATTTTAATAATAGTATCCATAATAATAATAATTTCCTTAATAATAATAATATTAATAATATCCATAATAATAATAATATCCTTAATATCCATAACAATAATCATATCCTTAATATCCATAATAATAATCATATCCTTAATATCCATAATAATAATAATAACCAATTCCAAATTAATAAAATCCTTATGTTCCATATAATTAGTAGCCATAATCCTAGAATCCTTACAGTAGTAGTTATCCTAAATTTAATTGATATTTAATATTATAATAAATAAGATAAATTTAATATTGTTTAAATTTTTTATGATATTATAAAACTCACTTTCTGGATCTAAGGTTAGCTCTGAGTTAGAGGAATTAAGCTTCAGCAGCTTAGGTTGATCCTTATTTAGCATAACTGGCAAAGACATCAGTGGGATCTCCTCCATATTGATTGAATTCTTCAACTCTTTATTCAACAAAGGTTCTCAATTTAGTCAAGAGTTCAACTTCCTTTCTTCTGGCACCAGTGCTGTCATTGTATTCAGTATTGAAGGCATTGCACATGTCACTAGCATAGTTAAGTAAGTTTTAGTTTCTGATTCTCTTGCTTGTAGCTGAGTTGATGATATCTTCTTCCTTGGTGATGGTGGCTTATAATTAAGCAATATAAGCTGTCAATTATCCTTAAACATTAACCAAAAGGGTGATGACATCTTGAACTCTGTTCTTTCTAGCTTAGAAGACTTCAATTTAAGTATTTTCATTATCTGTCAATTATGAAAGAGCAGCTGATAATTTTTCTCTTAATTCATTTAATAATTATCTAATTCTGTTGATGTTATCAACACTAACGTTTCCGTCACCACTTAATTCAACAAGGACTGACAATAATGGAGCATATTCACCAGCATTACCAGCTTTGGTGGCTTAAAGGAACATGTTGTTGAAATGTTTAGTGACTTAGATGAATGAAGCTGAGGCATTAGCGAATTCCTATTGATTTTTAATTTAAATAAATACATTGACAATTTATTCAGCACCATCAATCAAAGACAATGATGTGTTGATGTTTTAAACTTTCTTATTGAAATTGGCAGCTCTGTCATTTCTTCTGGTTGTAATGAATTCAACTTAGTCTTCAAGGATTTATTGATAGGTCTTAACTCTGATCAAATCAGCTGTGGCTGAAGCATGAGCAGCTTAAGCTCTTCCCTTGTGTTCAGTAGCTCTAGTTAAGGCATCTACAGCATCTTAGACTTCCTTCTTTCTGAATCCTAATTCATCTCCGCATTCTCTTTATTAGACTGTATAGATATCATCGTGTTCTGTTTATTCGTTTCTGATGGAAAGGATCAAACTATTGATGTGATCAACCAATAATTAGCCTGGTGATCTTGTTTAGGTTTCAGCGGAAACACACAATAAACCAACTAACACTAAAGCAATGACTTTCATTATTATTAATATTAAAACGGATACTCAAATTATTTGCCTTTACGCCATAGTTATACTATTTATTTATGGAACATTTAGTGTTATTCACTTATTCCTTGACTTTACTCTCAGTATAATCTTCTTATTGGGAATCATCTACTTATTCTTAAGATTGATATGCCAAGTCTTGATCTACCCTGGATCATTTAAATTATACTAAAGGATTAATTAAAATCATTAAGGATTGTTACATGCCAAAGTAATACTTAATTTAATAATAATAGAAAGTCTAATAATAAGTTAAGGAATTTGAAGAAATTTTATACTAACGCAAGTAGCCACATATAAATAATATATAATGGTTTGAAACATAAGGATAAATATTTTAAACAATGTAGAACCAAAGCAAATTATAATAAGAGTATAGTAATTATGTTAAATAAATACTCTCAATACTTAGAATTAAATGCAATAATGAATATATATTTTAGTAAATATTGAAAGGTAATCAGATTGAATAAAAGTATATTAATAATTTAATAACCAATTTGAATGGTATGTATAATATTGCAAATAACCATGTGATAGAATTAAAGGGATTATAAAAAATTAAAAGATGGTGTTCTTTGGAACTGTTTGGTGGTTTAAATGAATTTAGGGCAATGATATAATTGAAAAATTAAAATGCAAAGAGAATAATGATTATCAATGGAAAATCTAAAATTGATTGTATGTATTTAATCAATCAATTGGATGATTAACCAAATAATACAGTACTCTTTTGTAATCCAAATGGTGGTTATTATGAATATATGTTCTATGATGTAATCTATGTAATTATATCTAGTGTAATTGGTTTAGATTCTATGAAAATCATTAAATTAATGTTATAGTGTGGAATTATAGATAATATGGTTAAAGTACTGGTTAAATTAATCCAAAAGCTCTTCTTTAAGATGCAAATACATTAGTCAATTATTTTAGAGAACATTACAATATAACTAGGTTTGGAATCTAAGGATATTCATTAGGTGGATCAATAGCTGGGGAAGTGGCTTTATTAAATAATTTAGATTTTTTGATAGTTGATAGAACATTTTCATCTATAGGATAGGTAGCTTCAAAGTGTTTTAGTAGTCGTATAAGAATGTTACTTAATATATTAACAGATTGGGATAAACCTTAATATATGAATTATTGGAATTATAAAGGACATAAATTAATTGTACAAGATTCAAAAGATGAAATAATTCCTTATGTTGCTTAATTATAAGTAGCAATAGCAAGAGAATGGTTTAGTCCTTTTAAAGAGAAATATTTTAATAAGATTACATCTATGTTAGATTAAGAATCATCTAATTTTTAGAATTTCTTTAATTAAAATATTTTAAATAATTAATAAATGAAGTTATTAGTAAATAGTTTAAGTAGAGTAGTAAATTTAATTGTGAAATTAAATTTATTGGAATAATAAATGGAATATCTTTAAGATAGAACTTTAATAAATATGAATACTAATTAATAAATTCACAATTAATAAAATTATGTTTAAATGATTACAGTTGAGGAATTAGAAAGATTATAACCACTCTTATATTCAATGATTGAAATAATGTATTTCTTAAAATACAATAATACAGTTTTAATTGATCTATTAATTTACAATTAAGATAATTTTGAAGAGAAAGTATAGTGTTTTTTTGCATGTTGTTTTACTTTTGGGATGCATGATAATCATAATAATTTTATATAATAGTATTCAATCTATAGATAAGCCATGACTGAATTCTTGAATTTAGAGGGAAATCAAAATGATTGGGAGAATGTATATTTAATTAATAAAATAGTTAAAATTAGATGGTTAAATAATATTAGATTAATTCAATAAAATAGTTGATAGATTTTCAGAATATATGGATGATACATAATAGACATATAATCTTAATTAATCTACAGAAAGAGGAGCCAATATTGAAATGAAATTGACATCTCATTACATAACAAAAATTGGATAATTAATTAATGTGGATTGTGGACATAACAATAATTTGACTGAATTAGATTTTAATCATGTAAAGACATTCTTTAGATAGATAGGAATTTAATGAATAGATTATCTATATTAGTATTATGATTTTATCATTATATGTATTTTATAAGTATATTCGTTTTTTTATTATTCATAATGAAATTCATTATTTTGGTTACCCTTCTGATTTGCACTTTAGGTCAACAACCTGAATTTTTATAATAAATAGCTTCAAATAGTTTTGGTCGCTAAATACTATAAACTATTTAACTTGAACTAACATAAGAGTAATTGTCTATGTTTAAATTATATTAGAAATGCTGCCAGATAAATTTATACTATGTTAAACAAACTTTTCTATGATTTAAGAGATGAAGATGCACGATCTAGTAAAGCTAATGGAGAAAGGTAAGCTTAATGTGTTGATCAGTTTTCATAAATTAATTAAATATAAGAAAAGGCTGTTGTAGCTAAAGCTGATTATGAAAGATAAATACCAGGAAAATAAGAAGAATTAACCAATAAATTGAATTAAGTAGAATAAAAGAATGCTGAAATTCAAAGAAATGATCAATTATAAATAAATTTATTTGAATAAAGAAGAAAAGAACATTAATTATATGAACAAAAAAGAGATGAATTAATAGGATTAATTAATGGTTTAAAATAAGCATAACAAATCATTAGATAATTATAAACATCACATCCAGGAGGTGCTTTAGTTTAATTAAAAGATCATCATGAATAATTATGTAAATATAATAAATTATATATATATATAGTGAAGAACTATGCTTAGAATTCAGAATTTAAGAGTATTACTTCATTATTAATGGAATTATGTTCTGATGCTAAAATACATTCAGATAATGATAATGTTTAAGTAATTGTAGATATCATTAATGATTTAATTGAAAGTATATATGATGTTCAAAAGAGAGAAATGTATGCTGAAGATTGGGCAGAGAAATTCTTTTAATAAGATTTGTATATATTATATATATTTAGGATTCGTCTCTAAAAAGAAAATGTTAGATTGTCAGGATAAATAGCTGATGATTAAGCAGCTGCTGAATTTGCTTAATAAAGATTAGAAGATCTCTAATAATAAGCACTTCTTTAATAAATTATATATGATAATAAAGAAATTGAAAGAAAATCATTTGAAATTGCTTGTAAAGAAGATAACAATGCAGCTGAACAAGCTAGAGTCTCTAGAAATGAATAAATCTAGATTGTACTTTAATTGTTAGAATTGTTTGAAAATAATTTTAATGACAGAACAAGAGCAGCACTTTTGGAAATTGTTGTTTGATGAAACATTAATAATACAATCATAAATTCTATAAATTATAAGAATAAATTTCAAAAATCTAATAAATCTTTCTTTCTATTTAATATTGTTTCATATTCTTCACTACATTCTTTATGAAATATATATTTGAAATTATTTATAACACAACATCTTGGTTCCTTATCTTCACTAGTTACTAATTCTAAACATAAAAAACATGTAAAATCATTATGAACTGAACATTTACTTTAATCTAATGAAATCAATTATTTTTCAACCATCCTTTAACAATCTTTACACTTTATACAAGGAAAAAAAGGTATTTCTATTTAATCTTCTTCTTCTCCTTTTGTCTCTTTCATAAAATCCTATGCAATCATATTCTAACAATTTGGATCAATACCTCCAAGAGTATAAAATACTTATTATGAAATCTAATATCCTTTCAAATCAGGAATTTATTAAACTACTTAATCAATTAAATTTTAAGTTGTTGGATGACCTTTCTCAATTAAATAATCTTTAGCCTTCTAAATCTTCTCATTTAATGTATAATTTACTGGTATCTTAGATTCATCTCCTATCTATTCAAATTTTAAAATAGGAATCACTTTTGGTTGATTATTTACCTTTATTATTTATTCTTATAATTTTTAATAATCCACTTTTACTCTATTTTAATACATCCATTTCCCTAAAGCAACAGCTTTAAATAATTATTTAAGTCTATTAAAAATTGGATAATGAATTGCTATTTAATCATATAATTCACTAAACTTTTAAGCAAATTAGTATGACATATCATTAATATCCTAAGCTTATTTATCTTATAATTATGAATTAATTCTCTCTATTTATCTAGCTTAACATATAATTTTTATATCATTCACTATATACTTATTATCTTTGAATTGATAAGTACATTATTATGGTACTAACCAAAATCTACATAATAATTTTGTAAATTATCCCTTTCCAAATGCTATACATGATTTTAAACCTTTATCTGAAAGTTCTTTAGGATATTAAAAAGGAGTTTTGCCATCATCTTAAACTCCAAGACTCATTAATTTAAGTAAATAATCTGTTTCAAAGAGTATTTAAGCAAATTCTGTATCTTGAATAATATTCCTATTAACAAACTTATCTGGCCAACAAACTTTCTCTTATTATTTGAATTCTTCCTAATTTGGTTATACTATTGGATCTAAACTAAAGCATATGCCTTTATGTTTATCATCTAAATTTGGATCATTATAAACTAATAATACAGTTGCTAAATCAGACAAATGAATATTATCATTTTTATCTAATAAAAATTATGCTGTCTATTTATTTACTCCTTTTATTTTATTCAATTTATATAGATTTATTTTATTATCATTCTATTAAATTTCTTTTTAATTGACTTTTAATTTATCAATTACTTATTGTTGATTAATAGGTTTTTAAGATGCTTTTGGTTAATTGATTTTTTATTTAATATCTTTCATTTGATTATTCTTTATATTTATTCCTTACTAATTGTTAGGTGTATCTCTATTATTTTGAGTCTTATCTATATTCAACAGTCCTTATGAGATTCGTTCTTAGATTTTGCTAAGTCTATTATTGAGATCTTTTTCAAATTTCCTAATATGTGGTTTAAGTTCACAAAATTTTTAAAATTATTTCTTTCTTGCATCAATAATACTTTTTTATAATCTATTTTATTCAATATTATTTGCAATTGAAATAATGTTTTTATTGAATATACCATCTAAGGTTGAATTACAAGCTTTTTGTATTATGAGAGTAGCATTTTCAGATCCTATATTAATAACCATATCAAAATATAAATAACAAGTTCTTAAATCTAGAATTTTATCACATTTATTTTTAATAAATATATCAAGATAATATTCTTTAATATCCTCTTTACTGAGTAAGGAAGCATCTTTAATTTATTAATTTACCATATTTTAGTTTTATTTTTATTTCTTATTTCTATATTGATTATAAGAATCTTATGATATACGAGAATTATTAGGTTGGTTCTAATACTCTTATTGATATATTTAACCTCCTTCTGTTTCTAAAACAAATGGTAATAGAAGTTCAAATCGTTCCATCAATTACTAATCAAATCCCATAGAAGTTTTCTTTTATGAATAAATTAAAAATAAAATAAAAGTTTATTATAATAATTAAATAATGACATCATAAAAGATATTTTCAATTTAATATTTTAGAATTTTAAGCTAGATTTGATAAATTCTTTTCAAGTTAACTAACCTTTTAACTAAAAATATAATTTTTAATTACTTCAAGACTTTTTCATCAGCTTAACTAACATTAATTAAACTCTAATCTAAATTTTCAGCATCTTTCTTTAATCTTCTTTAAAGTTCTTGTTAAGCTCTACGTACAAGTTCATTAGACATTTTCTCTAATGATTTTTATTCATTTAATTATTAAGTTGATTTTATCAATTATTTAAATCTTAAATCTTTCAATCTCTCTTATCTTTAATAATTTTCAATAAGATCTAATTATTTTAATTTCATTTTCTCTTTCTTTAAATATTTCTAATTTTCTGTATCTTCTTTTCTTTTTTATGAAAAATCTTCAAGCAACTAAAATTTCTTTTATAAACTTTCAACTTTATCAAATTACTAAGATTTAATATTCTTTAAACTCTTTTCAATTTTCTTTTTTCTTAATTTTTCTTCTTTAATTTTTAATTATTCTTCCTTCTCTTTAGATTATCTTAAAGCTATTGAAAATGATTATAAAATTACCTTTTAAATCCTCTTCTTTAGTAGCTAATTTCTTAACAATTGACTAAACCAAAGATTCTTCTCTTTATTATGTTTTTAATTTGTATTATTTTAACTTTTCTTCATGTAAAGTACTTCTCATAGTTAATCTTTCTAATTTGGATTCCCATATCTGTCTATCTTTATTTTATGAAGTTTCAGCCCATTTCTATTCTATTTGATTCATTGTTGATGCCAAATGTAAATTATATTCTTTATCCTATATTTACTTTCTTTATTTAATAATATGTCTTCTTTCTTAATATTTTCTCTCTTATTCCTCTAATTCTTTCTTTTACTATAATTCATCTTCTTCTAATTTCTTACGTCTTATTTATATATATAAATTAATTACATTTTTTCAAATTTTTCAGCTTACTTTTATTTATCTTCTAATAATTTTCTTTATTTTTCTCTTTCTTTTTCTTTAATTTCATTAAACTTTTTCTATGCAGCTCTTTTTAATTCTTTTTTTTTAATTTCTTTCTAATGTGCTATTTTTTATTGCAACTCTTCAATCTTTTTTTCTCTTTCAATCATATCATGTTATAATTTTTATCTTTTTTTTTCATTCTCTAATTAATGTTGTACTTCTTTGGCTTTCACTTATAATTATTTCTTATATTTTGCTATCTCCTTTTCTAATTACTATTCTAATACTAGAATAGGATCCTCATCATCAAATGATAGATAGGAATCATCCTTATCTTCATTATTTATGTTACTCATCTTCTTATTATATGTCTCAATCAAATCATTCACTAATCTTAAATAATTAAAATTTTATACTCCTCATCTCTCTAATAACTCTACTCCAAATGTAGATTTGTGATGGCTTTTTATTTCTTGATTATCACTTTACGCATCTTGCTTATTTCTTACAAAGCACCTATTTTAATCCATTTTCCGTTTTACTTTCAGTCTTTTTCATGTAATGATCATATCTCATTTTTTAAACATTTTCACTAAGTCCTGGTTCTGCAAACTCTTCAAATGTTCTATATTATAAAATTATAAAACAATTACTTAAATTAAAAGATTTATGGATCATATCCTAAAGCTAGGCATGCTTCTCTTGTTTTTGGTGAGTCTGGCTTTATTGTAAAAGTCTTGCGAGTATGGGAAAATACTATGCCTCTCCTAGTGTTACGATGAGTCTACTCCAATAAGTTATCTATATTCATATATATTTTATTATTTAATTTAATTGAATTAATCTAAAATCAGCGTATTTTCATATTTAATTTTAATATTCTTAATATATCATATAGAATTCAACTTATTTCAAGATGAATTTTACTAATATAAAACAAGAACAAAGATGCTGAAGGTATAACAGACTATATTACTTTAAAAAATATACTAAAAACTATAAATGATTCTTTATAAAGACAAATTATATTAATAAAGAGTAATATTCTGTTATATTTGAATGATTATATTTAATAAAAATTTAGGGAGTGTCTTTACTTTTTATATTTGTCATACCAGTTTGTAAGCTAATTATCATTAACTAGATAAATTTTATTTACATATCTTCTACTTTAATAGTTTCAATCATTCTTTATCAATAATTGCTTGTGTCTGTTCTTCAAGTTTTTAATAAAATCCTATCTTATTAGAAAAATAGTACAAAAGATCATTCAGATCTCTTATTTTATCATATTTTATAAAAAGTATTTAGTACTTTTCCTCTCTAAAAAGAAACTATAATTACACTTTACATTCTATCGAAAATAAATACTTTAATGTTTTTATATATTAAACTATAATCTAGAAGATAATTATTTTAAATAATTTGTTCACATTATTTATTTCTCACTTTTGACTATAATTAAAAATAAATACTTAAATTTTTCTTTATTAGTAGTAAATTTACATCATTTTATTTTTACTAGATCTAATTAGCTATTAATTTACAAAATTTGAAAGGTAAAATAAAAAGTTTTTCTACAAGGACAATAAAATTTTTTTTATAAGTTGACAATAATAATTGATAAATTAACTCATTTAAAATTCCATTTGTGTTTCGATTGGATATCTGATTGATATTTTTCTATTAATTTATCATGCTCGTAATATAAGGGATCAAGCTTTTGGTTGTTATACCTTTTACAAAATTTTTTAAATTTTTTCTTTGCATCTTTGTATGAGAGATCCTCAAAATGAGTATTTTATTTTTTCATTAACCATATACAAAAAATGTCATTCAATCGAAAATAATCATCTTCATCTATTTTCTAAAAATCACTCATTAAAGCAATTTATTAAATAATTATATTATATTAAAAGATTTATTAATGTGTTATAAAATCTATGGGTTTGAATTAAATATTATTGATTTTGAAAAATTTGCTATTTTTAATTTATAATAACAAATATTGTGTAGTTGTATTATTAACTACACTTTTATTAATCATTACATCATTTAATTAATTTTGTTTTGCTTATTAAAATATAATTTAATTTAAAGACTATTGAGGTTATAAATTGACTAATATAGTAAGATTAAAATAAATAAATATTAAATGTTTTTCACTCTTATTTTTTTTTATTATATAATGATTTCAAAATTATTAAGATATATAATATAGTTAGAAAAACAAAATAAACTAATTTTATTTTGATAATTAAGGTAGTTTAAATTATGATAATTTATAAGTACATTTGGATATTTAAACTAGTAGGATTACAGAAATTTCCACTTTGATTGTAAAATTGAAATTGAATTGAATAATTTAAAATTAATATGGAATTAGTATATAAAAATATAAGGAAATTAGATACCTGAGAAAATAGGTTTATAAAATATAAAATTAATATTTTGTTGTCATTTTTAATAGGTTAATTAAGTTTCTTGTTTATTTTCATCTATTTAGATTACAAAATCATCTTCAAGATCTTCCATAACAATTTGTGCAGCTTGCGGTTACGAGGATGCTTTTATATACTCATCTTCCAATTAGTTATTTTGTAAAATGGTTATTGGCATCTATGTAGCACCTACTGTATTTAATGGATTTGTAGATAGGGAACTGTATCTTAAAAGTGTAGTATTGTCATCTTCATATTTATCTAAGAGTTCTTTAATAACGAAGAGACCTTTTCTAGGTATTTATTTAATTTATTTTTGAGATGATTTATCTGTAGTAGTATTACTATCCTATTGGTTTTCAGGATTCAATAATTTCTTTTGTAATTATTCAATTTATTATTGTTTATGTTGTTTTTATTTAAGTTTCTAAAATGAATTTTTTATAATAATAATAAATACCATTTTTAACAACATTTTTTGTTCATCAAATTTTTATAATTTTTTGGATTCTCTTCTACTATTTTATATGAAATAATCTAATATATCTGTATTGGCTAATTCTGGATTACTCTAATTAGATATTATTTAAGTACGCATATATAGAGTTTAGATATATTTCTAAATTTTTTTTTCTAGTTTCAATTTCTTAAGGATCATCATTAGTAATTCCGAAAATCTTTCTTTTAGGAAATTCAGGTATAGAATTGATTTTAATTTATTCTTTAAGTGCTTAATGAATATCTCTCAAATCTGAATATCTGGTTTTAAATCTCCATTTTGATTTATTAAAATTGTCAATAACTTGAACAAAATACAGTACAAACATATCTAATTGTTAGAATGAATCAATAATAAAATTGTATTATTATAAAGGTCTAAGTGTCATTATTAATAAATTACTTATCCTATAAGAATTAAGTTAAATCACTTTTATCATCATTGATATCTGGTAATAAAGATTTCAAACATGGTATAGAATAGAGTTTATCAATTTTAAGTAATTGGTTGAAATAATCTTATAAATCGGATCTCTAAAATAATTGATAATGAAAATAAATACACGCCTTAAAATTCCTTATTCAGAATCATTATGACTGCCAAATAGTTTTTTACCAGGAAATTATGGTAAAGTAACAGAGATACGTAATTGTTATGATGACTTATCCAATTTGGTATGTAATTTTTCAGCTTCTGAATATCTTAAATGTTAGACTTTTGCAGAACAATAAGAGTGTGAAACAAATATAACCACATAGACAATTTTTTTATTGACTATTTTGTGATGTGGAATTCTGCAGCTAAATTCCTAATTAGAATACATTTATTATTATTATGATATCATTTTTATGAATAAAATAATTCAACTTCCTAAACAAACAACTCTTGGTGTGAAAAGCTCTTACAAACCTTTATCTTTGTTCCTTAAAAATTAAGTAACTATAAAGACTATTAACATAATAATCTAAAAATAAAGTGCAAGATGTAATGCAAATAAAGGTTTAACAAATTTCTAGATTTTAGGTTTCACTATTTTCTAACCAATAATAGAAAATAAGAAGATAGCAATTACTCCACATACATCATGAATCATTCCAGTAGCTAAAGATATGATTGTACTTGATAATGTTACTGAAAACATGATAATGGGAAGTGTCATTGTTACTTCTGCAGTACTAACTTCTACTCTCTTTAATTTTGTTAAAAGGATTATCACTACAATTTAAGCAGCTGCTCCAACAGAACCTAATAAAAATCCAAAAATATATGATGAAACAAACAATTATATTAGCAATATAATATCAAATGTTTTTGTAATTAAAGCAAGTAAAAAGAATAAACTTACATTACATGTTACTTATTATTAATTTCTATGCCATACTTATATCATAAAATTTTTAAAGACATCTATATCACATAAATGCATTTCAGTTGTTTAAAATAATAATCCAACATTTATTAAAATTGTAAGACAATAGAAAAATACTTTTAATTTTGGAATTCCTCTTGTTACTAATTTCTTATGAATTTATTAACTAATATTTTTATTCTAATTTAAAAAATCTTTAGCTTTTATTTTATGTTCATCAATTGTTAAATCCATTTCCAAAATTTCTTAAGGAAGTACCTTAATAAATGATTCTCTTTTAAGTGAACTTTAAATTTATGTAAAGAATTGTTCAACATTAATTAATATTCCATCTCCAACATTGATAAAATCCTCTTCAAAATTCTACATTTATTCTGCTGTTGCCACTTTCTCTATCTTTCTAACTTATTTTGTTTTCGAATAAGTTGTTGTCATCAATATCAATAAAGAAATGACAGTAATTATTACATTGACAAATGTTGGTATATAATCTCTAAAAATAGATCTATATATCATTTTACTTTGAATGTAATCCTATTGTACAACCTGATATCATCATTGGACCCAATAATAAAACCAAATTTTCATTTACAGCTGCCTAACCAGGCTATTTTCTTTTTCTCAAATTCTCAATTGAACTTAGTAAATATTATGCCAATTACATAGGTTAATTCATCAATGAAGCATCCTTTAAATATACTATTAATATACTTTCTTTCCATAATTGAACACCAATAACAATATGAAAATCTAGAATCCCTATGCACCCAATCCAATTGAATTGAATACTCCTATAGATATAGGTATTACAAATGGCCCCAAAATAGATAAGGCATTTATTTAGTTAAATTGAAAATGTTGGCATATATTTTAAGTAACTTCATAATAAAATCTTCCGCACTATGCCATTTTTATTAAAATCTATTATTTGACAATTATTGATAATTATTTACATATAAATCAATAAAATTATACACATCATGTGCATAAATCAAATCAATCTAATTACAATTTATCCATTTCAGTATCACTCTTTTAAGTAGACTTCTATGGGGATACTTATATTATCTCAATTTAGTATTATTATTTATCTCTTATTATTTATGGACTAGTAAATCAATATTAAAATACTTTTAATTTACACAATAACAAAATTAAATTATTTAGTACTCAAATTATCCTACACAAACTTATTCATTGTTTATCTCCTTTCTTAAATAACATTCAATTGGATCATTTATTTACACTTTTATATTATCTCTTAATTGCTTAATATTTATTGAAGATGCTGATTCATTGAACAGAAAATGGCCCAATTCAAACTAATCAAAATTTTGATTTTTTATATACATCTTCATTTTGTTTAATTTTATAAAGTGTAAATTTAATTGTAAATGTCTCTGAAGAAATTACAAATCCACTTAAAGAACCAAGAAAATCATTAATTTATAAAATATTAGATTCTCCCAATTATTTTTATTCATTAAAGCCTTTCATTTAATAATGAGGTGGATTTTTGTTATTTTTACTACTCTTTGAAAATAATCTCATTTATAATGGAATTATAAATAAGAATTTATTTTGTTTACATACTTATTTCAAAAAATTTAAATTCTAATACTTTGATCCTTTAAATCCTTTACCTAAGATACTTTATAGTTATTGAGATATGGGATCTTAATTTATTTATATTCTTGATTTATGAAATCTCTACATAATTTTTAGATCAGATTTATGATTCTAATAATCTAAATATTGTTTTTATGTATTAATAACTGACGGTAGAGTATAAATTCTATTTGCTAAACTTTTATTTTCATTATTTATTGTATTCAAGTACATATTAACCTTAATACTTCTATTAATTGAACGTGTTGTTGATTATGCATTATTCATTGACTTATTATTGTGATTTAATAGTTTTAACATTAAATTTTTATCAATTCTAGATTTTTCTATATTTTATTCTTGAGTTTAAAATTATTAAGTGAGTTTCATCTATTCATGTTTATGTTTCAATTTTTGCATAATACTATCTGAATTCAATTGCAATGGCTAGAAGTATTATTTAAAATAATACTTATGATAATATCTCTTTTAACTTATTCTTATGAAATTAAAATTATCTCTCTTAATTCTTTTCATATATAACATCTTTGATTAAATAAGTACTTTTCATATATAACATATAAGTTATCAAAAAATAAATCAAATTATTAATTATTAATATAGTATATCATTAATGAGTTTTAATAAAAAAAACAGCAATTATATAATTAAAAAGTTATTATTATTATTCAGTTTCTAAAGAAAAATATAAATACAATATGTATTTTTATTGTAATTACATTAAGGTATATCTATTAACTTATTCCCTAATTAAATTAAATCACACTAATTAGAGAATACAAAGACAAAATCATATTAAGTATAATATTTTAGAAAATATACGAAATAATTATTTATTTTTGAATAAATTATATCATCTACCTATTCATTATAAATAAAAACTAATAACTTTATTAAAATAAAAAAGTATAAGTATAAACAATTGATTAATAAATATTAGTAAGAAATATACATAATAATTGATTGTATATAAAAAATTAAAAATCATTGAATAATATGTTTAATTTAATTTAGTTTATTTAATTTAATATTTAGTGACAGTATTCTCTTAATATTTATCATTAGCAATATTTTTAGAATTAAATTGATTACTAATATGACAAAAGCTAATGGTATCATCTTTTATATCATTATAATAATATGAACAATTAGGTTGAAAATAGATAATGAATTGAAGATTGAATGAACTTTTGCAATTCCATATGATTAAGTAGTCATCCAAACACATCCCAAAATTGGACTTATAATAATACTTAATGGATAAGGAAAACTTAATAACATAATTTATTCGAAATAAAAATCGCTTGCATCTATTCCTTATTAAATTAATAATGGTAAAAATATCTAAAAATAATTTAAAAGTTTACTGCATCTAAAATGGATAATAATAATTAAACATATATTTTTGTATTCTAACCAACAGTTGGAACTTAATGAGATAAAAATAAATATCTAATTTTATTAAAAATTTCCATTGTAGATTTTCTATTCCTAGATTTATTTTATTTTTCTGATTAAATTTCTTATGATGACTAAACTGAATCTTGAATTCTTTCAATATATTAATGTTTAAGATCTTCTAGATTTTATACATTATCAAAACTTTCTTTATCTTCTTCAAGAACTTAAAATTAATTTGATTATTCTAAAGAAATTCTTTAATTATCTAAAACATCTTCTATTTCTTCTGGATTTGCTTCTGAATCGTAAATGAATAATCCAAATCTCAAATGTTTATTTTTAGCTTCTTCTATAAATTTAATAAATTCTTAAGATTCATAATTTTCTAATATAGTAAATTCATCATCAATAATAATAATAATATTGATTGTAATTAAAAAATCTGAAAAGAATTTAACATTTTGATGATTACAAAAGATAATTAATTTTTATACATTTTGTGCAAAATCATTACTATCAACATCAATAGCTCTTGCATATCTATTAAATTTAATAATGAAATTATTTAATTTTTAACTATTTTCCATTCTTTTTTTATGAGTAACCAAATTATCTAAAATTTTATTTCTATCTTCATGAATTTCTTTATTTCTATTGATTGAAAAATAGAGACATGATAGAAAAGGATTACTTTCACATAAATAAAATGGTTTAAGAAAGTTACCTTCTCCTGAAACTAGTATATAATATGGACATGCTAGAAAGAAATACTTTAAATCACTAATTTTGTAGTTGAAAATATCAAAATAAAGTAATGTATAATCAGCTGATTTAGATATTTTAATTTTAATAAATTGATCATCCATAAGTTTCATAATATTTGATTAATGAAAATATTCTATTATTCTTAAATATTTCTTTTTTTTTATATAAGTTAAAATCATCCAATATAATGGATAATATAGAATAGAAATTATTATTAATAAAATCTTTTCTTATTTTTTCCATTCTGCAAATTTATTAATTTTATTTGCAAATCTTTTATATTCTTCAAGATCCATAAGATATTCTATACCAGATTCAGGATGAGATGGCAATTTCCATGGATTTTCAGGAGAATTATTTCCAAGTAATGTAATTCTATGAACATGATACATAAGATCAATCAATTAGAAATTATTATTTTTCATTAATTCATCAGTTAACAAATGATCTATAGTCATATATCTTGTAGCTGATTCAAAGTCAAAAGGTAATTTTTCATATTTGATTTCCTGCATCCTATACATCCTTCTAATTACATATCCTATTGATATAAATAAAAGTAATATAAGATAAAGAATTAGATTAAGAAGACTGAACATAATATTTGAGATAAATGTAATTGGATCACAATAAAATTAATTACATACTTTCTCATTACA